GTTGGATCAGGGGGACTGAGTATGTCTGCCCTTCCAAAAAGTGCTTCTGGGCTACTGCAGCCATTGTACCTAATGGAAAGAGCAAATATATCATTGCAGTAAACACAATTCCATTTTATCACAGCATTTATTCAGGGTCTTCTGCTTTCTGCTCCCCTAATTATTTTAGGAAAGCATTTGCAACAGAATCGGTGAGCTGAGGAGAAAGGCACAGGCAGGAAGTTTGACATATTTTATTTTTAATTAATTTAAGGCAGCTACAGTGAGGGGGGAGTCTATTACTTATCTGAATGCTCTTGGGAACCATAATCTTATTTTTAGCCTGCTATTTAACAAATCTCTGCTCAGTACTGTATTGAAAACAAAGACCACACTTTGAAGCAAAGTCAGTTCAGGGTGGCAACAGGACTAGTCAGAAATCACCCTGTCCCCTCCTCCCATCCTCATGCTCCACATGGGTACATGCAAAATGCACTATTTCATTTTCCACTTCTGCTCCAAGAAACACAACCACCACTCCCTTCCAAGAACAGCAGCCATGAATGTGCACACATCCCCTTGCTCCAAGTAGGTTAATCAGAGTTCTTCCATTCTGAGACTCCCAGAAGCTGCTCGTTGCTTCTGGTGACTGGATTTTTCCTTAATAACTATCCTGAAAGAAGCCTCCTGATTTTAGACTCCTTCCACATACAAAACCTGAAGGGTCACTGAAATGTTTCAGTCGTGTGCAGCACGCACCAAAGCAGTACACACGCCCTGCTCCAGGACACAGCTGGGCTGATCCACAGCTCCATAGCTCAGCCAGGAGAAGGCTCTGCATCACTCCTGTGTCCATCCTGACAGCCTTGATCACCTCTCCCTCAGCAGTTCACAAAAAAGTCTGCCTCCCATGTTTTTATTCACAAAAATAACAAAAACGTTCTTGGGACATGAAGGAGGGTAAAGACAAAAAAATCCACTTCTCCGAGCACATTAGAAATTGCAAATGCACAAATACATTACTGTTAGGACAGCCTGAAGAATCAACAGATTAGAGTATCCATATAGTTTTCTAGCCTAAACTCTACCACTAGGTCTACACAAATCCCATCAAACTTGTTTTCTCTGTGTCTTCTCTTTCAGGCTGTACAAACCCCACAGTCTACAGGCACACATTACAGGGTTTTATCACACAGAGTTCGGTACATCCATATAAAAGAACATTCATTAAGCTGAAGAGAAGCAAAACAAAGTAGGATCAAAAAGCAAGGCATCAGCAACAGAGAGAGATATCTCAGGAAACACCACATTCGCTCCCTGGTACGTGGAGGTCTGCAGAAGCTAGTCCATAGAGCACTGCTGGGTGCAAACTGTATTCCTGGCTGTAGAGCAGAGCAGGCTGAGAATAACATAGAAACACAGCCCATACTGGAGAACTTCTTAAAACAGGAGCCTAAAGAGATAGTTACAACATAAAACAACAGTTTAACACATGAAAATTAGAGAAGTCTTCATGCATTCTTTGAATTCCCTATCTTGCTTCACAAAATGAAAAGATAACAGACTAGAATTGCCTGCAGCCATTCCTGTACGTTTAAGTAACACCATCCACCCTCTCCAAATTTGTCCTTTCTGATCCTACCACAGCAGGGTAGGAAAAACTTTCTGTAAATGTGATATGGCTGTTATTTTAGGCATGTTTTCTGGGATGGGAAGTTTGTTGGGTTGTTTTGTTGCTTTGGGTTTGGGGGAGCTATTTAGTAATGAACCATATGAGATGTAAGGACACCCAGAAGCCTTTCCACAGTTAACAAATTTGCAAAATTAAGCCCAGCCATCAGTGGAGCTGGCTCTGCTGCAGGAAGCCTAGACCCATTCTGTTTCATTTCATGCATCACTGGCAGCCAGACTCTGTATCCACACTCTTTAGCGGCAATGTTTGCACACTCATTAGTCTTCTTGACTGGGCCTACTCAGCAGACAGGAAATTATTATTTAGAGCTGTAAAGCATACAAGTTAATCTGAGAAAAGTACAGCTAATTTTGAGAAGGCACTTTTTGATCTGCTGACCACAATCAAGCTAGAATCCTTTTGCTTTCAAATCTGTTTGACTGACAACATGGAACAAAGCAACCCAATAACACTGCTAGTATGCAGCTATGGGGCATTCTGGCTCCGACAGCAAAATGAGTTTACAATCCTTCCTGCCACTGGTCACAACTCTTCTGTTGCATCAATGCTGCTGATGTTTGGGATTCCTATTTTTAACTCAAATCAGTTCAATGACCCAATTTACTGCAGCCAGATAAACAGCTGTAATTGCCCAGTCATGAGGCAGAGTGGGAAGCAGGGGCAAGAAAGGGATTTCTTAAACTTGCTTCATTATCAAAAGCATAGTCCTGTATAATGGTATCCTGAGAAAACCAAGCTTTTCACCTCTGGAGGCCAGATGAGATTATATAGCCCAGCATGATCTCCCAGACTCATCAATCCTAATTCTCTTAGTGACCTTTCTGAAGCCAAGCTCAGTTCAGATGCTAACTGACAGATGCTCACACCCAGAAGCAGCACTCTCCTACCTACTACCCAACTGTCTGCCTGCAGTCAGAAGCTACAGACTGCCCTTTAGGTCCCACTGCACCCCCACAAAGAGAGGAGCACACAGGAGTGGGCCAAGCAGGAAGATCCATGGGTGCTCCTCCTCACACAGTCACAGTTCATTTGTCAGTAAACTTCAGCTTCACAGGTTCTTGATGCAGACTCTCAAAAGGGCTCCAGATTCTCACCTTTCCTAAGAAACAAAAATGTGGCAGACTTTCTGGAAACTGCTGTCAGGGACAGATACAACAGACAATTCCTTCTGTGCAAGGAAACAAATTGGAGATTTATAGCGAGGAAGAGGAAAACCAGTAACAAATGAATGACTAGACTAGGGCAAAATCCCATGTTACAGCTGCTATTTATTTAGTCTCAGGACCAAACTAACTGGAGAAATAAGCCAGTTTTACAAACACTTTGAGTAAGGGCCTGATCATATGTTTAGAATAAAAGCAGAACTGCTTCCCGTAACAGACAGGGACTGCAGAAACAAGGAAGCTTTTAATAGGGAAAATGCAAAGTATTTCCAACAAAAGTCAGGAAGGAAAGCAAAGACTGACTCTTCCTTTATCTCAACCTCCAGTGCACTGAAAAGGAAGTAGCACATTTCCTTGACAAGCTCCATTATCAAAATTAGGCACTAAATAAAAAATAAACCAAAAACCTGCATATTAGAAATACCTCAAGTCTCCCACCCCAATCAATGGACGCGAAGTCTGCATGTAACATGCACAGCAAAGGTGCAAATGAACTATTTGTATCTTCCAGCAAAGCAACAAACTGGCTCCAGTATCACTCCAGAATCTTACAGAGAGAGCAGAAAGTACAGCATGCTGGAATTATGACGGCCAACATGAAATACTCAAATGCTACAGTGAGAAATGGGCATATATGCCCAAAGCAAGTATGATTCATAAGAGCAGATATCAGATCACCCAAGAAGTTTAATCATTAGTGGTGTGACCATCTATGGGTCACACAAGGCAGAAGAAACAGTAATACAGAGCTGCCTTTTTTTTTTTTTTTGATCAAAAATGTTCTGGAAAAGTGTTGTAGTACCTAGGGGCTCCAGCCACTCTTTATTCAATTATATTTTCTATGTCAACTTTCATGATCATGACAAATGTGCTCTGATTTTATACAATAGCTCATTTACCTTATTAAAGTGCAAACAAAAAGGCTGTTTCCTCACTGTCCTGCCTGCTTACAAGTGCTGTATCCCAAGTGCTGTTCTGACTAGAGCTACCAACTGCTCAGATTTGCACTTCTGCCTTAAGCTGTCTATGCCTTTCACTTTAGTCAAGCTGGTACAAAGCTCATCAGGGCTAGTAGCTATCGGTCTGCACACAAAGCTGCTCTCCCTCTCAGTTTCAACAGTCACACTAGCAAAAGCTGAGTCAAACAGCAACAGTGGGAAGCGCAGAATCAACCTCCACCAGGCTGTCTCACCTTGCTCACCTCTCGAGTTACCTCTCCCTGGTATAAAACTTCTTATGTTAAGGCTAAGTCCAAAAGACCTTATTACAGAGCAAACAGAGGTTGTAAAAAGAAGCAACACTTCTCTTAAGTTCTATAGAAAATATTGCTCTCTGGAGAATTGACCACTGAGATGATTATTTGCAAATAAAAACACAGCACAACCTTAAAATACCTTACTTTTTCAAAGGAACATAAACCAAGGCAATATTAAGAAAATACGTTTGACTGCCTTCAACACAGTCAGAGACTGAAAAGCTATATACAAGCACTTGGCAGATGTGCACCTTGCTATGAAAATAAAGGGAGAATACGGCAAGTCATCAACAACACTTGCTTCCTTAACATGCTTCAAGAGAATAAAAAGAAAGGGCTCAGGGGAGAAGAGGGATAAAATGCTTTGAACAAAAAATTGGTGTGTGTTCTTCAAAGTTACAAAGGCAGTTTTAGCAATTACTGTGCTGCTGCTTCTGTCACTGCCCAGGAAAGGCAGCATGAACTAGAGCCCTTTAATTCCCACAGGCAGTAACATCTCCAAAAGGAAGTGACAGGCTCTCTCTAGCATTATCTCTCCTTTGTAGGGCCCTAATAAAAGATCAATGCCTTGCAGCCACCCGTCAGGACGCAGAGGCCAGCAATATGCGATGAAATACAAGCTTGCATATCCTCCACCACATACCACTACACCACTACCAGCAGTAAGGTTCCATTGTGGGAATAGACCAAGCCACAAATGAATACTGGTTAAGATTAAATACACTCAAAAGATGGAGCAGAGACAGGATTTGGGCACAGCTTATGAGAAGGTGCTGTTTCCTCTGACCGAGGAAAGTCACATCCATAGCTTGGTTCACAGTGAGAAGCCATCCCAAATTCCTCACTGACTGTAATTCCTTACACATAGTACTTTCTGCCATGTTCACCAGGACAAACATTTTCCCATGCTGGCTGATAACAAGCCTCTGTTATCCTTACTTTTCTCTGCTTCAGTGCAGCATACTACATCAGCA